CAGAAAGAACTCCACACAGCAAATGACGTTCCCAAAATATAATTTAAATATTTCCATATAGGTTTTCTGACACAGCAGTAAATAGGAAATGAGGTCACCCATCCCTAAAAACCTCAGCCCTTGTTTACATTCTTATTCGCCTTTTGGTTACTATCCATGAAGCTGTAATGGTATTCAAAGAGCATGAATGTCCTCCTCCAGCTTCCCTGAAAGTCGTATGTAGACAGAAATTCTTTAAGACTGACAACATACATAAATAGGGTAGAGAAAGCTTTCACACCGATTTCCATGTTTAGGCTTCTGAAGTAGGGCCTATCCCTTCTTCATGATGCGTTGTTACACTTCAGTGTTTTTAAAGCAGGGCTCCACAGCTTGGAAACCTCTGCTTTAGAGATCCATAAAGCAGTTATTCCACCACCAGATATGCTTCAAACTATAGTACCATTCACAACTAGTGCTCAAGGTCTCAAATATTCAATTGACCTTTATGTATCTTTCTAACAGCTAGAGATGCGTTTTGCTTACTGCGTCCTACCTTCTCTCCACACTGTCTTTCAAAATCTGGCTAAACGCCCAACCAAAACATAGGAACTCTGTACGGAGTTAGCATTTATGTTTTCATCCACACAGATGACAAACGTGGTCCTCCTTTAGTGACACTCTTTGATAGATTCTATCAGACACAGAGCCATTAGTTAGCAATAGTGCATTTGCACCAGCGCACACAATGAAGCAGAGCGCATTCAAGTGTTTCAGAAATTAGGACCTCAAGCCATGCTCTCTGAGCAGGAAGTAAAGAAACAGAGAAAGCCCAAACCTTTCCAGCATCACAATAGCATGCATAATACTGAAAAACGCACTAATTTTAGTCTAAATGTAGAATTTCGTACTAGTTTGACCTGGACAACAGAGAGGAAGAAAGGGAAAATGCAGACGTGAATCCACAAAACTAACTGAGGCATAAATTATTTCCGCTAGCTTAAGAACAGCATGTTACAGAAAGCAGCCTTTTCTGGAGGACTTGCTATCGAAGTAAAAGCAAAATACACCACAGACAAAAGGGCAATAGTTGACGGAATAGCTTAAAGTCAAAATGTAGCCATTATCTGGTTAAAAAAAAAAAAAAGCGCTCCTAACAATATTCTTATAAGTGACAATTATTAGCACCTATGCCTTTATCTCAAAATTACATGCAAAATACCCTGGTGATTGCACAGAAGCCTGTAAATAGAGCTGAATTTCATCAGTGATGGCTGTGAAAAAGTTAACAGAAACTACCAAATTCTGCTGTACTCAAAACACTGGAGAATATGTGCCTGCTACAAAAGCAGAAACACCACAGGCTTTGAAGAATGCACTGCATTTGTGACACATCTGTGCAATGAGCGTCACAAATCACCTAACACACTACAGATGCCAAAGTTTTCAGCAAAGTATTAACGGCTAACCAACATACTCATAATATTAGTAAAGGCATAAACACCTTATTAGGACTCTTTTAAAAGAAAATCTGCTAACTTTAAATAATTCAGTGCGAAGAAGAAAAAGAGGTTGCTGAAATGCAATCTCCTAGCATAAATGTGACCACTGCACTGTGAATTCATTCTATTAACACTGCATTTAAAATAGCAGATTGAAGTGATTTTAATAACTCAGTAGAACATCTGTAGAGTAGGCTTAAGTATTAGCACTCCTTTTTCTGGATTCTTTACCTCTCAACACATCATTTTTTAACTATAACAGGAAATTAAAAAACTTAAAAAAGGTAATCAAACATTGCTTCTAGAAACAATCATAAAAAAAAAAATCCTTCTTTCTCCCTGAAATCAAGCTTTTCCATATAGTCTCCTCAGCAGTCTCAGAGAGTGATTCCTGTCTTATCCCACTGGGACGTCAAGCTACAGTACTTGCTTACTTCACAGCTCTCTTTTGCTCTCTCTCTTCAGAGACATCAGTCATTTTTGGTGTGTCAACAGCGCTCGCAGCTCTTTAACGTCTGAGCGCGCACAGCTCTCTGACAAGGTGCCTATGACAGGCAAGCGGAACGGAAAAAACAGCCTTGCGTTTTCACAGATACGTTCTTTATTTACATCGTTCTGCTCTATCAGCAGCCACAGGGGTTCCCCCCTCGCCTCAAGGGAGCCCAACAAACCCGCTGTAACCTCGGCGGCGCCCCTCGCGGGCACAAGGGCTGTTTCCTGCCCTCACACGCCTCGCTCCTGCTCAGGAGCGAAGCGCCTCATCTTTCCCCTTCTCCCCGGCGCCACCGGCTCCGGGCGGCAGCGCTCACATCTCACCTCTGACCGGGAAGCCCCGTCGGGCCGAGGAGCCAGAGGCTGGGCGCTAGTCGCCACCATCTTATCCTCCCTCTCACGTCCCCCACCCCCGCTTCCGCCCCCGTGAGGGGCAGCACGCGC